CCAACTTTAAATAAATGGCATTCAGAATGTTGCAAAAGTACGGGCTGGCCCATATACAGAGACAGAGGGGCTCCCACTCATCCATTTGTGTGTTTCGAATACCATAAAAGGCAGTCATAAAACCCTTTCCGCAAAACGGAAATCCCGCTTCAAAACAAACGCCATTAAAAACGAGGTCATGCTCAGTGGCTGGGCCATAGGGACACATGGAGGATGTAGAAAGAGAGAGAAGGATGTGGAATTTGGAATTTGGGAACGGAGTGGAGGATAAGGACGAGCAGGATGAGCTGGTGTTTGGGCAATATCGCATTCAAGGACTGCCGAAAAGTCAAACAAAATTTACTGCACAAAAATTTCAAAAGTTGGGGCTAAAAAATGTACAACAAAAATATAATATTTTAAAAGTGCTCATAGGAAGGCGCAGGCAGGGCATAAAATATGGGCGCAAAAAAGTTCAAGTTTACAAGGGGGAGGTGAAGTGGTGAAGGGTATATACTATATATGCCTTCTAAGGTATTTATTTTCATAACGCAGCACAACATAAGGAAGCAATAAATTTAAGCTGACTGACGACAGTTTGCATGTGGATGGCATGGGTTTTCAGGGCCAGCTGAGGGGTATCCAGGGATAGGGTCCTGGCAAGGATCTGCTGCTGTGTTATGTCTGGCTTTGGCTTTGGCTTTAGCTTAGGCGGCCTGCTGTTACGCCCCCTTAACCACCCACCGCCCTTTCTCCCACTCGGCATGTGTCGTAGGTAAAATGCCAACAGTCGTGTCTGCACATATATTGCATAGTTATTGTTTTAAAGCTTTAGTCACCCATCCCGGCCCACCACTTGGTCTGCGTCATTTAAATAAATTTTATGCAATTTAGTTAAGCTGCTCTCTCGCCCTGTCCCTCTCCCTCTGCTGGCTGCTGCACTTCGGCTGAGTGAGTAAATGTCATTTAAATTTCTTGTGCCTTCTCGCTCGTCAGCAACGTATGTGTGGCATTCCAATTTCTTTTCGTCCTGTATCGTCCTGTATCGCACATATCCCTTTCACAATCCCCAGCACCGCTCGCAATAAAATATTTAAGCAGGGGCGAAGAGGCGGAAGAAGCTGCCTACACGGAGAGAAATATTAGCTTTACATCAGTTATAAAATGAATAACTTTAAGAATTATCTTTCTAATTTTAAACTTTCTATTATCCTGATAGCTAATTTGTTTTTAAGACTTTACTAAATTTTGGATCCTTTTTCTTTTGAGAGTCAAAAAATGCTTTTATTTACTCAATCAATTGGTTGTAGAAGCCTTCTTTGACCCTGAAACCTATACCTTTGATCTTTGAACCTTTTTCTGGCTGTGCTTGAGCTCGTTACCTCCCATTTGTGTTTTGTGTTTCGTGAGTTTTTCCTTTGGTTTTTACGCCCCCGCCCCCCGAATCTTGTCGTATGTCACCGGCAACTTGACTGAGTTGTTAGTTTTACTGTATTTCTTGTCTCTGTTGTGGATGCTGCCACTGCTGCTGCTGCTGCTCCATCACATCATAAAAACGTGTGTGCGATAGCTTTCCTCTCGAGTTTTTGTTATTGTCGCCGCTTGTTCAGGTTATTTATGTTTGCCATGTTGCGTTTGTCAAGTTTTTGCATTTGAAACAGACGCGCTTGAAAGCATTATGACTTAATTCCTATATGGCGCTCGGAGACATGATATGGATGCATAATCCCAGGCCCAACAGGACACTTTAAGTTACCATCTCGCTGAGGAGAACACTGGAAATTACATTTGGCAACATCAAGTATTTACCTAGGACATTCAATTGTTGTCAATTCTGGTGCAGTGGCAGAACTACAACTACTCTGAAGGAGCCTACGTTGCTAATTGAATCAAACTTAATTAAAAATGTCTTGACATGGCATAAATCTCAGGGGAGTTTGCCACCTGCACAGGTGAATAAGAGCAAAGAAAGCCGAGAACATATGCCAGCAGCTGTTTTGCCTCAGGGCGGTTGCCTCAACTATTTATTTGCACAAAAAATATAGCAAATGTCAAATGTGTGTTTACACAGACCGAATGCTACTATATATATCTATATATATACAGAAGTACATATGTACATGCTGGGGAAAAGAAGCTCAGGGTTGAGCTGCCTTAAAGAAACAACAAAGAAAATTGCTTTAGTAAATCCTAACGAAAATAAACACAAAACACAACTTGAGTAGCAAAGCAAACAGAACCCTCCTCACACACACACACACACACACACAGACACATCACCGGAAAAGGTGCGCCCAGGTGGGTTTGAGTTGGGGTTTGGCTGGGTGGCTTTCATCTAGTGGGGTGGCGTTTCCAGATCCGCATTTGCAAAAGTCAAAAAGGGTTAAGGCAAGCTCCAAGTGTTTATTATGTGTGGGTGCGAATGAGTCCCTCTGCCTCCACCCAGCCACGTGAGAGCTCTCATATTGCCCTGCCTTATGTATGACACTTAAACATGCAAAGCTGCTTGCCAAGATGATTTATATTAGCCATGATTTCTAGCAATTTTTAGCACTCTGCGTACACCCCGTTTCCTCTTTTTTTCCTCTCTCTTTGCTCACCAGGCGTCGGAGGTGTTGATTGTTGTTGAAATTTCTGTTGAGACAGGAGGACGAAATAAGTGCTGTGACATATTTGGGGCCATGATAATAAAAAGTTATTTGGTTCCCTCGCTCTAAGCAGAGGTGATTACATGGCAAGGATATTGTGCGAGTGACTCTAAGCAGCATTAGAGCAGAAAGCGAAAAGCTGACAGGAGCATCAGCCGAGATAAAGGTGAATTCCTAATGGGGAAAGATGGGGAATATATGCTTATGGCCGAAATTAAAAGCTGTTGACTTGCATTTGAATGCCGCAAAAACTGCAAAACTTTGACCGAAATGGCCTGCCGCACACATAACCATTGGATAATGCGAGCCAAATGTTGGTCAACTTCTTCACCAGAACAATTACCTACCACGCTACGTATACGTAATGCAGATGGGGGTGGCCAGGAGACGGTCCGCATAGCCACACACACACACTGGGACTCACTTGGGCTATCAAATTAAGTAATTGCATAATTGTTTCACTAGCATTTTACTATGCCCACGGGTGGCCAAACTGACGGAGACATCCAACCATAGACCGCCACCCATCCACCCAGCCACCCTCCAATTTCTTGGCTTTTTATGTGTGTGCCAAGTTTCTTTTATTTGCCTTTTGGTCGATGGCTAATCCCCGCCCTTTCTGCCTTCTTGCTACGTGCCTGTCTTTGAGTTTTCGTGGCTCCGGCCCCGCCCACTACGCCTTTGTCCCTCATAAATCAGCGTCAAATCGCCGAGGACTTAGTCCGGAGCCCCCAGAACTCCGTAGTTTCTAATTGTTTTGTTATAGACACATATCCGTGCGGTAGCGTGGCCCATTCGAATGCAAAATGCAAATGCCTGCAGACCGCAAATGTTGTAAATGCCCGCCGCACCTGCCAGCCATCCTGCCCCCTCCACAAAATGATTCACCTGAGTGGGACACACAGGCGATTGCACCTGTGCACTGTGGGGAGAATATTTAAACATTATTTTGATGTACTTTAATCTGTTTTTATTTTTCAAGAATTCACATTTAACTTATCTTTTTATAAGGTTAAATTATATTATTTTACCCACTCATTTTACCAACTCATCCCACTGTGCTGCGGTCGGGCAACTTTGTGGTGGTCACCTGAGCTTCAAGCTGACTAGTGTGCTCGGCGTGATAAGGCCAACAGAGCGGTCAAATATGGCGCTAACATTATTACCCCCAGCCGAAGGATGTTTGTGTTTGTTGGCCGAAATCGGATTGAGCGTGTGAATGCGGCAAGGTAAGCATTTACTACGTCTGTGGGCTTACTACAGTGAGCTGGCCAACCGTGCAGTTTTTGGCTTAAAGAAATATAATATAGAAGCCAAGGCCCTCGGCCAAACAGTTTTAAATTCGAAATCATTGAAACTGAAATTTAAAGAACAAAATCCCGTTCTACCATAAATACCTCAATTGATTCATTAATCCTGCCCTCTTTTTTTGGGCATTTCTCAGTGCTCTAGATTTTTCCTGCATTTTTTACCGGCACACGAACTTTTTCATTGTCTGTTTATTTTTAACCCGTCCATCCATATTGCACCGTAAATCGGACATTTATCATTCCTAATTACTGGCACTAAGCTCTGATTGATCTGTTCCCCGTGAAACTGAGGACGTGCCTCGGATTCTGGATTTATAGTCAATGGGGCAGTAGATGCACACGCTGGCAAGAACAGGCCATTTGCCGCGCCTCGTTGCTAATTTTAATATTATTTTTGGATATCTCATAAGAGAGATTTTCCCCCCTTTTTTTTGCCTAGTCGCTTCTTTGATGCCCCGAACTGTTGATGTCTTTATTGCAGTTGGTATATGCAAGAGGTTGCTGCTGTTCGCATTATAATTTCCATTTCCATTTCATTTTCATTTTCATTCAGCAGCAGCTCAGGCAGTGGATCTTCATCGGATCGCTGGCATCTTCACGGGGCTTTGACTGTCTATAATTGGCTTGTCTGGCCCTTCGTTTTACGAAGGGGAACTCTCGTGTGCGGGTGCGCACTTTTAATCAAGATCAAGAGTGATAAATTGAAGTCTCCATGGGAATCGAGGGGCTGTGGCATTGATTGAGCAACTGGAAACGGTTGAGTACTTCATTCAACAGGAATTTAATAAACTTTAAAGGTTACTAGCAAATAAACAATTGAAAGTAATAGATTACATTTGCATCAGCCAATTAAACTTTGAATAAATATAGTGCTTGGGCTAGATGAGCGTGCATTTTCTAAGTAAACGTGCTTGTTCTGGAGGGGATTGTAGTATTTTAATTAGATTTATTATAGATCAGAGGCAATCTCTCTCCCAGTTAGTTAGTTGGTTACTTTGTATTCTATAAATCAATTGACATATCTTATTTTTTATGCAAAGACTTATCCGGTTCCCCATTAACTTTATTGCAGATCATCTTGTATAAAAATTGCGTCATAGGAAAAGTGATGGAAAAACCGCTTTAATCTTTTTACACCCATTTCGTTTATGTAGGGCAAGAAGATGGGCTCAAGTTCGTTCCAGAATTCTAGCCAGTGATCATTCAGCAAATCATTTACCACAATGCTGAAGTCCAAGTTCTCGGAATTAAGATTATCCAGCAAAATTATGAAACGATCCAGCTGTACCTGGGACTCCAAGTTGTATACCTTTAAAAAACGCTTTCCATTTCGAAACTCTACATAGGCCTTGAAAATAATGGTAAGGCGGACATTCTGCAAATCGGCTTTAATAGGCCCTGTGCCATTAAACTGGGCCAAGAAAAGTTTTGCCTGGTATTCGTAGGTTCCTTCGATTTCCATCCTTGGTATGCGAACGCCTATTATAATCATATTCTTTGTGGGATCTCGATCGAATCCTTTGACTGAGAGAATGGTTGCATTTTCTAGACCTTTTAGAACTTGATTCTTCACAGAGAAAGTCAGTGAAACGGGCTGATGATGTGAGCAGTTATATACCACCAGATCTGGAATGGGGACCTTGTCAAAAGGTCGGAAGTCTAGTTGGGGGTAACCTTTGGCAAATGCCCGAATATAACCATTGAGGCTCTTAACCAGACAGGATTCATCACCATAGCGACACTTTTTGACATTCAAAGCTGTGAGTTATTAAGGTTTTCCAGTTAGTTATCTTCTCTAGAGTTTTCTTGATATTTACTCACGTAATTCTCCGACGGCTGAGAGGATCACTAAAATCACAAATCGAAGTGACATTCTGAGGGGTCTGCTAATCTGAACTGCAAAATGATAACTGTGAATGAGTTTGGTATATAGTAGATATATATATATATATGGAATAGAAAATCCACTAAAAGTTCCCCAACTATTAGCATAACCCGACTAACAAAGTTGTCTGTGAATCCCCTCGAAAATGCTTTATGGATCCATTAGCAGGAATTTAACTTTAGTTTATTGCAGATCGGTTCGCCAGGGGAGACTTTATACCTATATGCTTCGATTCCCTGAAGCATTTCACAATCTGGCGATGCACAGGCCATAATAATGAGCTGTACATTGGCCGGAATGCGGGAATCAAAAACAATACTGCCACTGCAACATAAACAAATGCGATTATAAATCGTGGGGCACGCTGGCTGCCGACAAAGAAACTCTGGGCTTCTGAAAATCCGATTGTCAGTCAGCGCCTTTTGCATTCCAAAGCGTTTGTTTTTTGTCTCTTTGAGCTTCTGAAGTGGATTCTAAGAAACTTTCGCACAAATGTGCGTCGTGTTTTTGCATATAAATTGCGAGAGGGAATCGGGTGTAAGATATGCGTAAACGAGCGACTGACTGTGTGTGCCACTTCATGAGACAATGCAGTGAAGGGACACAGAAAGGCCCCTTGACAGGGGCTAATAGCTAAGGTCAACAATTAAACTCATTCTGTCCGTCTCGAATGACTCCCCCTCGCCATTCCCATCGCTAGTTTAGGGACTGTCTATCCGCGTGGCTGACAACTGCAGCGCCATCTATTTGCAATGCATTAATTTTAGATCGGGCCGGAAAAACCCGACCCTCGGCCTTACTTGGGTTGGAAATTGAAATTCAAACACAGGAAAAATCAATCGCCCGCACTGTCAATGTGCCCGCATTTTCCGTTTTGTTTCTGTCGTACATATTTTCATTTCATTTCATTTGGTTTTATTTTTGGGCACTGGCACGGGCACGAGCACGGGGAACCACATTTCACCTTTCCCCGGGAATCGATGGCGCGCCAACTATGTAAATATTTGTCACGACCGCATGACAATATTTGTTCAGACTTTGATTCACCTTTTACGCGGCACGGCACAGCCCTCGATGGAGTTGTGTCCAGAGAGTGACAGTAACTAACTGAAGTATTTACGTTGGGGTGATGGTTAATTACTGACTTACAGACCGTTTAGCTGAGTAAGATCTAGATCGGGACTGCTAAAATATATATATTTAAAACAGGCAGGGTTTTAATTGAATTATAAGAAATGGTATATGAAATTATGATGAATGAATATTAATAAAAGGGAGAATTAATGTCAGTACTGCGATGCTAAGCTGATATACGAGGTGTGTTCAAAAAGTAAGGTGACTCTTCAAATTTCGCGAATTTCAAATTTTTCGATTATCGAAACCTTTTAGAAGTTATACGAGTTGTGTTCAAAAAGTAAGGTGACTTTTCAAATTTCAAATTTTTCAAATTTTTCGATTATCTTCAGTTTTGGGAACAAGAAAAAGTCACATGGGGCCAAATCCGGTGAATATGGTGGCTGAGGCATTATTGTGGTGTTGTTTTTGGCCAAAAAATCCAAATCCTTTGATCCATATTTTTCGATAGCAAAAAATCGCCGAGCTCGCAAAACAACTTGTAACTTTACGCCTCTCACAACCAAACAAAAGAGGATGTTCCACTGAAACTTGGTACAGATGTTAGGGAAGAGTGTACCAATATAACAAAACAAAAAAATCGATAATCGAAAAATTTGAAATTCGCGAAATTTGAAGAGTCACCTTACTTTTTGAACACACCTCGTATAACTTAGGTTAGGAATCTAAAACAACACCCCTCTTTATATTAATAACGAAAATACCGAAAATATTATATATTCAATGTAAACTTTTGTTCTTCTTAGAGCATCTTATATTCCTCACAGCACTCTAGCACTTTCTACAGACATTGTTTTCTTATGCCATCTCACAGAGAGCACTACATAATGTTCAAGACACAGTGGCCCTCAGTTTTGTTTGTTGTTTTTGCGCAGAGTCGCTTGTTGAAATGTGTATCTTGTCCCCAGTGCATTTCCGCTTGGGATGCATCATAAAAGTATTTCAAATTAACAGTAGTAAATCAGGCGGCGAACATCCATCCACATTCACGGAGCGCGGGCGGGACCGAGATTGTTGGGTAAACAAATATCGACATCAGCATGCGTGCTGGTTTTGTGATAAATATGCATTTCCCCCTTTCCACCTCCACGTCTCCCCACCATAAACCATTTCCAACAGGCAGCGGAGACCGCGGAACGTCAGAAATGCAGCGATTCACTTGTCCGGGAAATCTGACGCCTGTGACGAGTCCCAGCGGCAGGTGATTCAGGATTTTGTCCACAGGGGCAAAACAGTCGTGATGGACCGCAACTGGTGGCATTTTCTTAATTTAATGAATGAATTCCGGTTTAATATTATTATGAATATCATATAGCTCTGCCATTACTTGGCTCTTTGGGTGTAGGAACATTTTCTTTGCCAAGTAGGCAAAGGGGCAACTATCTCTTATCATATCCCAGCTAATCGACACTTAGTTTCGTAAATCCAAAATTCGTACAGGATGTTTTCTATAGAATCCTCAAGAACCTTACAGCCGCAGCCCCCGAAATGTCCATGTCACCTGCCAGATCGCGGGGACTGTGGTGACCAGAACAAGAACCTGCATGACGAGTACCACCAATTGGACATTGAAGACGTCACCGACAGTGTAATGAAGGTGATGAGGATCTGTGGACTCCGACCCTGGGAGGTTAAACGAAGTGTGGGGGTCATCAAGCGGTCCCTCCAGCACTACGAAGAGGTCATTCAAAGGATCGATCGAGTGCCCCGAAAGCGATTCGCCAAGGAAAGTTTCCTGCACGGACTTGCCCACGAGGCCAAGATGTCCCGGATGGACGCCCAGATGGCCTACGCTATAGTAAAAAGAGCATTCAAGGTAGGAACATTACCGAAAACCAAAATATATTCAAATTAAATCCTGTAAAGGCCTTCTACTACGGAACGGGACTCGAGGGTCGTCGCTATATGTGCCTGCAGGATAAGTTGGCCCATGATGTGGAGTGTCTGTGGTTGCATGCCGCTCAACGCACGGCCCAGATCCATGCCGTTCTCGCCGGACACATGTACTCCGAGGAGCTGCTGTTCGAGGAGCGGATCGAGTGCGTCTACAAAAGTCTGTACGATGTCCTGAAGTCGCGTTTCGTGTGGGCGGACAACTTGATCTGCACATGTGGTCAGACCGCGACTAACTTATCCCGTGTGCCCTCCATCGCGGCCTCTTCGATGACTGGCCAGATGGAGGTGCTGTATGCCAAGCAGAATATGAACCCAAGTAGTTTTCCCTCGAAGACCTCCACCCGGGTGGCGACTCAAAAAGCCTCGGCTGTTGTCAGCTCGGTCTCATCGCGGCACAATTACAGCCTGAAGAGGGGAGAGCAGATGTCCAATAAGCGGACTCCAGTGAGCGGCAGTAGCACTACCTCCGCCAGCCAGCCCAAGTGCACTTGCCCGCGCCTGCAATGTTGCCGGGAATTCGGTGAGGCCAGGGAGGCGCCGGATATTACGGCGGAATGCAGTCAGGGACCTTACATCTGCAGATGGTTGCCTTTCACCGAAGAAGACGATGAGTTCGCCGAACATCATGTACCCTTCCCACCCTTGGTTGAGATTTGTCCGCCCTGTCGCAAGGACGATCTATCCTGCGACTCGGAATGCACTTGCACCTGCCAAGTTTGTACCTGCCGCCCGGCCTTCGATGATGGTCCAGGTGAGGAGGAGAATCTGAATGAAAATCTATCCAAAACTGGACTTGAGGATCAGGACACCGACTTCTGCTGGGTAGGACCCTTCCGGGGTAGCAGTGTTGAAAGAATGGCCAAGCTGAGAGAAAAGCATAAGCTTTCCGAGGTGGAGGAAGAGCATGAGGAGGTTGACGAGGAAGAGAAGTTCCTGCGCGGCTGCACCTGTGAATACAAGCAACATGCCTTCCCGCACCTATTCACCTACCTGACACCATTTGGGATCAAAAAGGAGGATAAGCAAAAGCCCCAGTCAGTGGTGGAGAAGGTGAAGCAGAAGGAGGAGAGTGAAAGTGAAAGTGAGGATCTGCTTTCGAAGCCACCGCCCCATGGCGTATCCTTGGCCACCTACCGTTGCTGGGTAAAGCCTCCTTCAAGCAGCCATTCCAGTGATATGGTCAAGCCACCAGTTCTGTTGGTTATGGGTGAGAAGACCAAGGAAAAATTTCAAATAACGATCAAGGAACAACATCATTCCAATGAGGCCAAGACTGCTCCACCAGGAGGGCCACTGCCCAAGGCTCCGGTCTTACCCAACAAACCAGCTCCTACTCCGGCTCCCGCTAAGCCGCCTGCTCCAGTTCCCTCTGCCCCTGCCAAGACTGAAGATGATAAGCTCACCAAGGAGGACATCTTGGATATTATAGGTTTGAGAGTGAGATAGGGTTTTCCGCACACTATCTAATATGAAATCCGTGAATGTGGCACAGTTAATGTTTATTAAATTCTTGAAACTTCCAAATAATATGGCATATAAAATGGGTTTCGAGTCAATAGTTCCTAGCCTGAGTGGCAGCTCAAAGGCTGTGGTGGTGGCAAGCCCAGCTGGACACACAAGCACTCAGTTTGCGGCACTCAACTAATGTCGAGGGGAAATCCTAGTTGGCCAACGCAATTTGCTCTCAAATAGTTTTTGCCAAGTTATTTGATATTTTATTTTATATTTTTATATTGTCAAGGGCTTTGTTGCATATTTGTGCGTGTTTGCATTTGTGTTTTTATGTTTTTCTGTTTTTCTGTTTACCCAACGAACTGTCAATTGATTGTCAAATTATAAAGCGAAAACGGTCAGTTGGAAAAGCGAGCCAGCAAGAGAGGAGGGAGTGCCCGCTTCCCTTGAAAATGTAAACTGTTTGCTTTGTCGCCACTTTGCAACCGAACGCTCTGACAGGATCCAGGAGCGGGGCTGGGATCAAATCGAACCACTTCAGCTGCAAAACTATGCGAAACATTATACAACACACGCATCGCTGACAAAACGTTTTTCGAAAGAGCCACAATAGAAATCAGGGACGGAATCAATTCCAATTCCAATTCCCGATTTCTGATTTCGATTTCTGACACACGATATTTCGCATTGTGTGTCCCACATAATAGATGGGCGGGGACACGCCCTTGCAATGGACAATATTTGCCGTAGCAGTAATTTACAAAACACGATAGGTCGTTGTGTATTTGCATTGTCGATAGTTGATGCCGGGATACAAATCTCGTTAAAACCAAATCACGTAGGAATTTTCAGATTTTTGAAATGTTGGGGAAGAGTGCGACGGTATTGAGAGTCTGGAAAAGCGGCAGCCAGCGAACTTTTCCGGCTGTCGTAATTGCAGACAAATTGTGAAAAGTATGGCCTGACATGGGCGGCACAATACGGGATTTGTTTGGCTTGACAAGGGCCGCTCGAAAGTTTTGTGACAGACGCTTTTAAGCAGAAAATTGTTTGCTCATAACTTTTGACATTGTGTTTGAGGAGGGGGTGGGTAGTGGCTGTTGAGAGCGGGGGAAGCCTATCAAGCAACAACAATAAAAGGGTAAAAGCCGACGCAGGCCTCGAATATGGTATTTTATTGGATCCAATATGTGTGTTTGATAGCACCAGCCACAAAAATAAAATAAAACCTGGGCCTCTAATGACTTGGAAACGCGAAAACCTATAAGTCAAAGCAGCAATGGGAGAGTTTTACACTGGAAAATAAAAGTACAGACATTTCTAAACCCATAAAGCTAAAGTGGATATAAAATAAGAGGAGCTTAAATCGAATGTGAAATAAATCCTGTAACCACCTTACATAAAATTCATTATATTCTTATTTCAGGATAAAATTCCCTTCTTTTGTGTTTCATTTATTCGTGTTTTAGCACTGCCTGTAACTTGCAACAGAAGCTAAAAGTTTGCTGTAGCAACCACACTGTTTTCTTTTTGGTTTTACCACAAATCGTTGACTTTGAGTGGAGGATCCCTTTGGCTTCCATAAACTTTAAGTGAGTCTTCATTGCAGAGCCGGTCCGATGGCCATAAATTTCTAGTTTACTTTGCGCCCGGTCGCAGAAGGCCATTAAAAAATTCCTGGTCGCATCGAGTGCAGTGCCGCAGAGTGGAGTGTCTGGAGCTCTTGTTATGACCACGGGATGATGCGCATTGCTCATTAACACGAAACTAATTAATTGCGCAATTCAGCTAAACTATCGTGTAGCGATGGCCAGACATTACCCTCTCTCTTGATTGATCACCCGGCGTCGTCTGCGTGATCTTCCAGGGCTAACGAGCCGGACCTCAAGACTTCAGTAACGAAGAGCTAGACTGCGGGGGGAGTAGCGGGCCGCCATTGCATTTTAAACGCTAATTTATTGTTAACTGCACCATGTTGCCGGTATGCAAAAATGTTGCCCGGCATATGCAATTAATTGTAACAAGGCCCGCTAGTCATTCGGCCGGGCGAGCAGCCTTTAACGAGGCTAAGACAGGGGTACATTCAGCAAAAAAGTTGGTGCGAAATTAGGGTTAATATTGTCGTTTTTTATAGGGAAAGATAACCCTTTGGTGGACGTGTTGAATTAATTGTTTTGATAATACTTACCCTTCTTTTGGCTATACCAATAATTTCTTAATACTAAATTGTATTTCTTGAAAATATGGAAACTATTTTCTTTATCTGCAGAGTCAAAGACTTTAACCAAATCTGAAACGGAGACAGGGCATTTGGATTGGCAACACTTTCCAACTGGAACGCGTGTTAACCCGCTGCAATTTACGTGTTAATTTGGAGTCGTGTCTCGGTAAATGCTTAGCTGCTGCCCCCGAACGACTTCTGGCCAATGCCGGCAGCCTCACTTTTACCCGAGCGGATTTCGGGGAAAGTTTCAGTTTCAATTTCGGTTTTGGCCAACTAAAGTACCTGGCCAATATGCGAAGGTGGGAAGCGTAATGCATGTGTTGCCAGTAATTGCCGAGGGGGAGGCCCACAAAGCAGCAGCTTCAGCTGCCACAATGGCATTAGGCCGGGCCAATTCCAGGGAAAGCCGCCACTTACCAAGTGGCCTCGTCGGTGCACACACTAGATGGATATTCAGATTGAAACGATGCCCCCAAAAGCCGCCATTAGCTGAAGCTAACAACCCGAATTGGTGGAATGCTATAAAAACTTTAACTATTCGGTGGCAAAAACAAACTCTTAAAACAAAACAACATTTTGATCACTTCGCATTTCATAGAGCTAAGAGGAAATCTCACGAATCCACTGGGCAAAATCCAGAGGCAATAAGTTGTACGGCCAACTATGCAACCATCAATCAGACCAACTGGCTCGCAACTATTTTTAAAATCAATAAATACCCATAAAGTTGCCGGCGAAACTTTGGCTTCCGCAATTCTATATAAGTACTAGCATTTATCTAACCAGCAGATGAATGCTGACAGCCCAACTAGTTTTTGAATACGAAAATGCTTGCCATAGTTCGGCGAATGTTTCGAAAACTTTTACGCAAAATCCGTAGTCGAGAAACGAGAGCCAGAAAACCGAGACCAAAAACCGCAGAACGCACAATGCCACGCCCCTGGCATCGGCTTCAGCTTCAGCTTCAGCCACCGCTCCCGCCCTCCGGTTATCCATAACATCTGGCTCAGCGAAACTGCAGCTTGTTTGCGGTTTCGAGTATCTATCGGATGCAGTTGCGAGTGCGATGCCAAGATACTCATAGTACTCGAAGTACTTACAGTTCGCTGCCTTTTTATTTTTTCGGCGGTAAATAGTTGAGAGTTGAGCATGTTGCTTGTTGCAAAGCCTGTCGCTGCGGCTAACGAACGCGCAGACACAGCACACAGCACACACACCGACAACAAATCATTGGGCTTTATGACACTGGCAACATGTGTTGCCGCTCAAAATATTTAACCACAGCCAAAAGCTCTTCGAAAATCAGCAGCTACGGTTTGATTAATGGCAGCATTCAGCGACGTACAACTGCATGAGCGTTTTCAACTGCATGTATCCATCAGATACGTAGTTTGTCAACGACGCTTTCCACCGACATAATCATCAATTAATGCGCTATTAATAGAGGCCTTTCCCCCATTTTCTCCAATGGGAAAGGGAGGCGGCCAACACTTAGGGCCCGACATGTGTTAGTGTCAACTTGATTGAGCTGGGGTCCAAAGACATTTTTAACAAAGAAATGTTGTAGGGAAATGGTAATAGTAGAAGCAGAAATACCCTTCTATAAAAATACCTTAAAATCATATCAGTAAAGGGTTGTAAAGGTTTCGAAAAGCCACACAAGTGCCTTTAAGTCAATCGTCATAGCCCCCACCCTCATTCGACCACTTAATTGCTGCCAAATTATGGAGCCATTAAAAATTCAATTCGTGGCCCAGTTCGATTTGAATTAATCAATCAAAACCGACATACTCTGACTTATTATCAAGAAAAAAAAACAGAAATCCGAAGGTCGCGCCAGCTAATTTACTGGCCATAATTAGCATGGGCCAACGAAATGTTTGGGAACATTTTACAGTATTTCAGGCTGCAGCGTTTGGTAATGCGTTGGGATGGGCCGATGGATAGATAATTTTCCGGCAGTGTGGCACTGTAAGAGTGAGTGTGTGGCATATGCATTAACCCCTTGATTTCGGGCTCTTAACTGGCACGCAACGGCCTTGTTTCGATGGCTATGGTTTTCTTGGTAACTGCACTGGCAGAAATCTTATGTTTGTTTATGATGTGAACGAAAGATATAAGATATATAGGCCTTTGATTATTGAAAGTTATTTCTCTCCGTGCACATCGCTTTTTCTTATGGATTTTATGGCCGCGGGTTATTTAAAGAAGTATTTTCAGACTGTTTACTGTGCGGTTGCAGTTGCAGTAAGTCTTAAGTGCGTTCTCAAAACCGAAGTCTTCGAAAAGAATCTTTCATAATTAACCGGGAAGGGGGAGAGGGATACTGGATACTAGATACTGAATACTGGATACTTTGTAGAATTTGTGCGGTGATCAGTGGATGCCATCATCAGCGACCTTCCCCTGATTTCGTATGCAGCCCAACCAGCTGGGATGCCATGAACTTTGTACAAACACCGCACGCTCATCCTAAAGATGCAAAAACTTTAACATTTAACCGCATTTATGGGGCCGCTGCCAGCTGCTGCTTCTCGGAGCCCAATCTTTCGGATGTTCGGCTGGGATGGGGGCGAAAACCTTTGGAAGCTTTCGAAAAGATTTTCACCTTTTATATTAGATGCCGGGCGAAAGTTTATTGTTTTCCTCAAGTTCGCGCTAGGCAGCCCATCGCAGGCTGAGAAAGCACTCCATTTCCATTCCTAGTCCCCAGACCCGCTCGTACTTCCATTTTCATCGGAAAGGATAAGCCAGGACCTCCAGCCGAAAAGGATGTTTGAGGTTGTGCGATATGTAAAATTGATTTGCCAGCGCTCCTTCCAGTGAGTTGCTGCCGTTTGTTTGCTTT